CCCAGTCTCTTCCAGTAACTAATGCCGCTTTCAGCAGCGGCAGGGAAGCTGCCTTAATTCTCCAAAAAGGCAAAAGGGCCTCTCCCCGGTCGCCGTAGGAGCGGAGGTCCCTGGAGGCGGGCTGTGAAGCCCAGGGGTGCCACCGCTTCAGCGCTGCGCGGTAATGGTGGAAACGGCAAGCGGCAGGCAGTCCCCTACGTTTTTGGCATTACCCTTAAGTACCCAATCAGTAAGGGCAATTCAGAGTTTGATGTCTAAGAGCTCTACACACCTGCAATTACTTAAATCCACAAAATTGCACCCATAGGTATTTGCAGGCACAAAAATGTTGGCGTAAAATTAGAGGCCATTTCCTAAAAACCTGTGCCTAAATTTTGATGATATGCTATATGAGGGGTTGTTATTTTGAAATGGATTTGTGGAAAGCAATTGAAAATCTCCAGGCGTCCCATCTGTGTTTAAAGTAACAACAATAACAAAACTTTAAATTAGCATAGGAGATTTAAGACATTTCAGGAAAACATTGATTAAATCTGCCAATGAAATGAATGTGTTTGGCGAGTGACCTAATTAGTGTATACTTGGTTCTTTTTCACTGCACTGCTTACCACTAATTGCTGTTCTGCTGGTCTTCTCCTGACAAGTAAGAAAAAACAAGGATGAGGGATTTGTTGAGGAAATAGTGACATTCAGTTTTAATTCATTTGAACCTGCTGCCAAGCTTAATTATGGAACTGAGAAACTGAGACCGGGAGGCCCCCAGCCATTTAGGTTGTAGGAGATGGAGATGTTTGGAGGCTGCCGGTGTATTTGGGTAGCACTTACTGCAGCTAGCTATAAACTTGTGCTCGCTTATGCTTAGTTGTTTGCTTTCCCCACAGGTATAAAACCTCTGGTTTTATTCCTTACATTTAATTCTTCATCTCCTAATGGCATCAGGCCAAAACAAAATTACAGGCATTTTATTTCTTCAAGAAAAGGTTTAACAATTAATCTAAATTGTCTTGTCTTGGGGTTTTTACTGTGGGTGTTTGCATGTGCAAACTGGTAATGTGTCATTCTACACAAAAACCTTGGGATCCTGAGGTACTTGTTATAGCACTGGAGTACAGAAGTCACCCTCAGTGTAAGCACACTTGAGCTGAGGGGCTCACATTAGTGATAAATGCAATTCCCATCTCTTGAAGCAGCAGGGGATAAGGCATCTTTCCCTGTTTGTGTTTGGAGCTCTTAAAGGAAAAGCGCAGGATGCTTTTGAGGAAAAAGAAAAAAAAAAAAAAAAAGTAGCTTTGGGTTTTATTTCCTGTGGTGGCTGTGGATTCTTGTGAGCAGTCTGAACATCCAAGATTAATATTCAAGCACATTTTTCATCATGTTCTGCATAAAAACTGGGGGCAAAAAAAGTATCATTCATTTACCAGAATGTTTATGGTGCATGCACACACAGGAAAAAAAAAATAGGCAGGAAAAAAAAAAAAAAAACGCTGTGGAATTTGAGGCTGGCAGAGGGTGAAGCTTGCACATGTTTTTAAAAGATGAAAAAGAAGCATAGACATTTTCTTAGAGCAGCAATATCCGACTGGCAGACCCGGGTCTGAGTCCCTCCTGGGGGATGCTTCCAGCCAGCCTGCTGCCTTTCCCAGGAGGAGCCAGGGGGTAGCTGTCCGAGGGATGGGTGCCAGGGCAGCCCCACTCACCCCCCACGCCGCTCCCGCCGGGGCAGCCGCAGCAGCACGGCTCTGCCGGGGGCAGGGGGGGCACAGCCTGTGCCCACCCAGCCACCGCCTGTGCAGGAGGGGAGAGCTCTCAGCACTGGGAGCTTGGGCAGTCTCTTAGACTGTGGGGAGAGCTGGAGGGGGTGTTCTAAGACCTAGCTTTAGCTTCTGCGGGGACTAAACTTCATCTACCCTGAATTGTATAGAAACCAAAGCCAACCAAACGAAAACCCCCGAAACCCAAACAAAAAAGGCAGCGCTGCTTTGTTAGAGCCCAAGACTCAAAAAAATGTGGTGATATCATAAACAACTGAAATATGTTAGTGTAGGTCACCAACATAACCTATAAACATCTACATGGAAAAACATAAACTGCAGAAAGACAGCACGCCTGGTTTTCTGTTCTGTAGTACTGAAGGGTTCTTGTAAGGATACTTGAATGCTGAAACAGCCTGGGAACTTGGCTTCCCTTGCAGCAGATTGATGTTCTTTGGATGAGTTTTCAGCCATGGAGTGACTTTGTCCTGATGTTCTGTGTGTGGTGGAAAGATGTGTCGGGAGTGGGGAGGGCCAGAAAAAGATACTTGGAATGAAAATGAACTTGGGGGAAGGAAAAGGAAAAGGAGCAGCTTTGCAGTGAGGCTGGGAGTAGCAGTACTAGAATGCATAATGGGGCAGCTAAAGATGTAAGGGTTTTTTTTTGTCTCAAGACTCTCACTGGATCTCTGATATTGTTCTGTAGCCCACTGTGCCTGCTGAATAAATGTTTAGAAGCTATTAGTAGTTTTAGATATTATAAATAGAAGTTAATCTTCCATAATTTACTGTGAGATATACCCACTCTATAATACAACACCAGAATATTCTTAAACCTTCTGCTTTACATTTACAGGCAATACTAACTTACATGTGAATACTTACTGTGCTGTGTAGGAAGTAATAATAAAAATAATTTTCCTTCTGTTTCTGCATACATGAATCCTGCATTGTACACTGATGATAAATATAAAAATCTGTGATCTATTTCTAATGCAAATATTAAAACTTAATTTGCACTTTGACCTCCTAGTTTTTGGGCATGAACATGGTGAGAAATAAAAAGAAATTCATTCTCCTGGGAAGAGCAACTTGCTGTCCTAAAAAATAATTTGATCTCTGTTTACTCCAGACCATCCCATAACTTCCCAAGACATTTCAGGTTTCCCACTTGGCAGCTCAGGCTTCTTGTCATGATCTCTCCTCTGAATAACCTGATTTAAAAATACCATGTTCCGTAGCAATAAAAAGGGAAAATCAAAGGAGGGAATCTGAGCTGGTAAAATACATCCACCTCCCCAAGTTGACCAAACTCCAGTATACTTTTTCATGGTTGTGTTTATTAGATCTGCTGGCCCAGTGTACAATTGTTCTAGGCTTTCCCTAATCTGTAGTAACAACCTACCAAAAAGTTCACCCCAAACCAAAGAAACCTAGAAAACTGAAGGAAGAAAAAAACAGTAAGGTTCAGATCTTGACTTTGTTGTCAAAATAGTGCTTTTCATACTCTTAAGTCAGCATCTTCTTTTAACAGTTTTGTCTGTTTCTTTTTCTTATTTATTTCTTCATTTTCTTAAAACTTTGTGGATGAGATTTAAACCAAGTAAACAAGAAGGTCCATGTGTACAAAATTCTTTCATCACTGGACTAACATCTGCATTGAGTAATGCGGACATATCAAAATAATAAAATAGAGATGTTTATAGCTTGGGTGGCAAGGTGATCACAAGCACACGCTCTTACACCCAGATTTCTTGTGAAGAGGAAGGCAATAAGCCCTCCCAGGAGCTGGAAGAAAGGCTGCAAATGAAATAAAAATGGATATGGCAGGAAAGCGTATCTGTGGTTGCCTCCTGTATGATGTGTATTGACCTAGTAAATGGAGATGCCTGCAAAGGAGCTGTTATGCTATAAATATGCTTGTGCTAATATTATTAAAGCTTTCAAGCAGTTCAGCTTCATCCTTATGGCTTCCTAGGGAGACACTGGAGAGGTGGCCCCTGGCCACAGCTTGTCTGAGCAGCATGTGCCTACTTGTGCTGTAATTGCTTGAGATGATGTAGGCTGGGGTTTTCCCTGGATGGAGTGTGAAATACATGCAGCTGCCTAAATAAGTGCTTGGTGGGGTTGTTACATCTTCCTAACACTGTTGAAGTCTTTATGAGCAAGACATTTGAATGTTGTTGTGGATCAGAGGTAACTTTGTGCTTAGAAGTTGTGGAAGGTCAATTCCTCCTTCACTTTGCCTTCCTCTGTATCTTTAGGAAAATAAAAATACTTCCAGGGTTCTTGATATCCAGTGGGGTCTTAACAGCACTAGTCTTGCCTAAACATCCTGTCTGCCAGTTTGCTGGTTTGTCGTTTGGAAGAGTTAAGAAACGGAGTGGGAAGAAGAGAAGATAGGAAGTGACTTGCTGATTAATAAACTAAACTAATGCAAATGACTGGGATTAGGAAAGCCACTTAAAAAGAGATGATTATCCCTTGCCAATCCCTAAGATCTAACCTCACTAAGCTGCTGTTCAGATGATACCCTGAAGCGGTTCCTTGTAGGGATCTGGCCCTTGTTCCAGAAGAAAGGGTGGCTAGATTAAAGGGATGTGGTTTAACCAAGCTGCAACTTTATTATCTTGCCATGTTCTGAAGCTATCTGGCAGTCACTTGTAGAGCACAGGTTGTGATTTCTTCCTTAATTGCTCCCACAGGCTGGAAGACGGCACTCCCTGCCCCTACACAGATGGCCCCAGCCTGCCACAGAAACCCAATACTCTCCTCTTCTGAAGATTAGTTCTCATATGGGTTCAAGGGACAGGGGAAAGGTGTTGTTTTCTCACAAAAGTAGCCACTCCAAGCTGTGTCCCAGAGAGAGGGATTTACTCCTGCTTCCTCATAAGGAAGAGATGGGGCAGGACACCAGAGTGTGAAAACCTCACAAGCATATGCCCTCCTGCTGCCAGAGTCCTTTTCTCTATTAGGACAGGCAAAGACCTGTCTTCTCTACCCTTCTGCTGGACACCATACACTTATGCAGCTTCAGGTCATTGCACTTCCTTAAACCCCACTAGGGTGAGTAGGAAAGGTGTGAGAACTATAGGTGTGACGGCTGGTGCTGGTAGTAGTGCTATTGCAAGACTACGAGAGAATGCGAGAGAATGGAAGGTGTTTCCTTGTTTATAAAAATAAAGTCTTTATCTATGCATGCACACATGGATAATAATGAAAAAGTCTGTTTCTGTGTTTATTTTTCAGGTTATGGTTTTGTGGATTTTGACAGTCCAGCAGCAGCACAGAAAGCAGTAGCATCTCTCAAAGCAAATGGCGTGCAGGCGCAGATGGCAAAGGTAGGAGCAGCCGTGTTCTTACGGGATTATCCGAGCTGTTGGGCTGAACTTCCAAGAGCTTGTTTGGCTGCTGTTCTACTAAAAATTTTGGATTGCTTATTCCAGTGGAGTTTTTTGAGTCCTTCGGCTCGAGCGCCTTATTCATCCTATGGTTTGTCTGTGTTCTCGAGAGTTACAGCTCATGCAGTAGGTCCTGTGCCGGTACTCTTTCTGCCCCTCTCTCTGGAGAGGGTTGTAAGTGCTGGAATGGCAGAGTGATTGGAAATGCCTTTGTGATGACTGCCGTGTGAAAGTTGCCTCAGAGCCGTCTTCATTTGGTTCCTTTGTCTTGGAATAGTTACTGTTCCCTGATGTGCCTGGTGGGCTTCTCTGAAGGAGTAATTGACTGAACATAAGGAAAGTTTGTTTGATCTGCCTGTTTGGCTTCTCCTATCATTTTATTTTGAGGACATAAATAGAAGGATAGCAGGTTGCTGAAATAATAGTTGCTGGAGGTTGTCTGGAGGTGACTGATTCTGTGGTCAGAATTTATGATTCTGTGGTTTAAAGCCAAGTGCCAGGTCCTGCACTTGGGTCACAACAACCCCAGGCAACGCTACAGGCTTGGAGAGGAGTGGCTGGAAAGCTGCCTGGTAGAAAAGGACCTGGGGCTGCTGGTGGACAGCTGGATGAGCACTGAGCCAGCTGTGTGCCCAACTGGCCAAGAAGGCCAAGAGCATCCTGACCTGTATCAAAAATAGTGTGTCCAGCAGGAGTAAAATAATGATTGTGCCCCTGTACTCAACACTGGTGAGGCCACAGCTTGAGTACTGGGTTCAGTTTTGGGTGCCACAGAATAAGAAGGACATGGAGGTGCTGGAGAGGGTCCAGAGAAGGGCAAAGAAGCTAGTGAAGAGTCTGGACAACATGTCAGAGTGGCTGAGAGAACTGGGATTGTGTAGCCTGGAGAAGAGGAGACTGAGGGGAGACCTTGCTGTCTACAGCTACCTAAAAGGAGGTTGTATGGTTTGGGTGTTGGTCTCTTCTCCCAGGTGGCTGTGGTAGGATGAGAGGAAATGCTCCAGGGAAGGTTTAGATTGGATATGAGGAAGAATTTCTTTGCTGAAAGAATGATGAAGGCATTGGAATAATGCCTGTCCAGGGACATGGTGGAGTCATCATCCCTGGAAGTGTTCGAAAATTATGTTGACGTGGTACTTCAGGACATGATTTAGTGGTCATGGTAGCATTGGGTTGATGGTTGGACTTGATGGGTCTTTTCCAACATTAATGGTTCTACGATTCTATAATTTTATGACTGGAGTCTGTTGTTCAGAGAGGCTACAGGAGCCATACTGTACCTCTCATAGCAAGTGTAGTAAGCTCAGGTGCTCTGGTCCTGGAATAGTTCTTTGTCCCAAAGCAAAGGGGCTGATGGGGGTTGTAGTCAATGAACTTCATGTGTTCCAGACATTGCCTTTCTGAAGGCATAATGTGTCTTTGGGCTGTAGACTGTGTCAGACAGCAAAAAACCCTGCTGCTTAGTACTTTGAAAAAATGCCTTTCCTTAGAATGACCAAAGGCCCTTAATGTTGCCAGATTTAGTCTCTGCAGAAATGATGCTGACCTAGAATCTCAACCAGTAAAGACAAACAGGTAATTACAGAAACAGAGGCAAAACAACTAATAAACAATCATCTTATTTGAAGTTTCCCATTTAAAGGAACGTTGGTGATTCAAACTTTTGTTTTTCAATAACATCAGTTTAAAACATTTTTTTTTTTTTTAAATCCTTGGTGGTAAATGAGGTTCTTTACCCTTCTACTGAATTACATTCACTGTGCCTTAAAGTAACTGGATGTTGTCAATGTATTTCTGTTTAACGGCGCCCCACAATGCAAGCTATGTTGTTTTATTGCCTCTTAGTTTTTATTGACGTGTGGTGATAAAAAATATTTGCTTCAAATGGGTAAAAGATGGCAAGCTGAAGAATGTGAACACCTCCTAAAGACTTTGCTATTTTATTCCTCTGACATACGGCATCTCCTTGTTAAAATGTAGGCAATTTGACACGTTAGTCAAGCTGTAAAAAAGAAACCAAAGACAGGACATATGTTGTGTCCTACTGGTTGATAGTGAATAGCCATTTCTGGAAAGGACTAAATCTCTAACTATATAAATCTGTAACGTTGTAGATTTAAAATCAGAGATTTAAAGATAGGTTTGAAATATAAATCTGTGTTTTGTATACTCACGATTCAGGACAACGAACAGTTTCAGCACTTGTGTGTGTGGAAATGCCAAAAGCAGAAGGTGACTTAAAATACTGTGATTTGGATTATCCAATATTTTGAGAGCTAAAACCAAAGTCTTGTGCTTTCAGAGTGGGAAGGACTGTACCAGCCACTGAGGTTTGTTTTCTGGGGGATCTGTGGTGGAAGTAGTTTTTTGCCCCGTGTGATTTTGAGGTGGCTGGTATGCAACCATTTGTTTGCATAAAGCTGACTGTGTTTTTATTATTTAGCCATGGAGCCTTGATAGATCAAGATAAATAAACTAACCTTTCTTATCCCTGAAAAAAAAAAATCCAAGTATTTAGAAAAATGGGGATCCAAAGGAAACGGAGACAACTCTACACAGAGTACCTCACATTGCTGAGCAGGCAGGAGCCTGGGAAAGCAAATGTAGCTGGAGAAACATGTTTGTTCTTGCACGTGCTGGAAGCCACATTGCGTAACGGGGCTGAAAGACGATGCTACCTGCCAGCGTCTGAATTAACAGTGAGGGCACCCAAGAGGTTTGAAGAAGCAGGCAGAAGAAGAATTTTGCCACCACTTCTGAAAGTTTATCACTTCTTGAAGGTTTGTTTCAAGGACTGCTTTAATTAGTAGTGAATGGTGGCCATCAAGTGAAATCAAAGAAAAAAGAGTAAGTGTGAAGAATTTACCTAAAGCTTTTCCATGCCATACCTTTAAAAAAAATACAGTCAGTGTCCTGTATATTTTGTTCTGCAATGCAAAGCAGTGAAACTGCCCCATGTACAGGCCCAAGAGAAGACTGTAACCTATGTTAAGCAAATATCAAAAATCTCAATCCAGTCATGGATGCTTTTGAATCCAAAGAGGCATCAACCAGATTTTGCTATGCACTGGTCTTCTCCAGTAGTGAAAGAAAGTATGCTGGAGTGTCGGTGTAGTCTCTGATGTTTTTCTGGAGAGAAATATTCCTCAGAAAGAGAAGTTCTTTCTCACTTTTAACAGAATATAATTTTTCTCATCAAAATCCAAGAATCTTCTTTGAAAGGCAAAAAGCAGAACCGAACCCAACCCATGTTGGCTAGCTGAAGTATCTTGTGCATGCTTGAGTAAAATATAATCATTTTTCCGATACTTAAATACAGCCACCTCCCTCATTTTTTACAGCATTTGGACACCTTTTTGGCTACTTCTGTTTCAGAATGCTGCTTCTGGAAGAAGGTTAAACTCTGCTGGATTTATGCTCCAAATCCCATCACTGTTGGAAAACTTGTTCTGTCGAGGCTCATACACCCTCTAACCCTGTGCAGGGGAAAAAAAAAAAAAAAGTTAAATGTGCTTGAATCTCTCTTTTTGTTCTCTTGGATGCTGTTCAGCCCAGTGTAAAGTACTCAGGAGAGAGGATTTAGCTGAGAGAGAGGAACAACAGTATATTTACCTGCAGAAATGGTGGTGGCAGGTGAGGACTCATGGGCCCATGGGTGGCTGCCTGCTTGGTGGGACCCTCACAGCCTCCCACCCACATGAGAGCTGCATGAGGCTCTGGTACATGTTGTACACATCACCTTGCCTCTTTAGCATTTCCCTCACACAGGTACTTCAAGCAGAAGGTTTGACTATGTTTTTCCTATGATAAATGAAGTTCATCTAAGTTGTCCATCATTTTCAAGAGTTCTTATTAACACTTGCATCTAATGAGAAAAATTAATGCTATGGAGCTGCTGAGTGATGGTTTCTCAGCAGATCTGGTTTATTTTGCTATGTGCTTCCTACGTGTCTTTGCAAATAACTCAGATATCCAGCTTTCTTTGTGTGTATGTAGTGCCTGCTTGTCCAGGCTTGTAGAGTCCAGGTGTTTTTTTGTTTTTCTTTTCCTAAAAACAGCTCAACTGATATGACACTGGATAATCTCACAGGAATTACTGATTTGTTTGTCTCTTTGTGCTAGGGATTACTACACAAACACAAAAAAAGACAATGCTTTTTGCATTGTTTATATATGTTTGGTTTTTCCTGTCTGCTCCTTTCCTACATTTTCTGGAAGAATGTTATAGACAGAACATGGAAAAAGGATAAGGAGAATCTGAGTAAGGTGGGATTTGGCTCAGACAAGTAGACAAGGAAGCTAGTACACATGAAAAACATATCAGTGTTCTAATCAAATCTGCAGCCAATCTATTCTTGGGATTTGCAGTAGTCATTCACCCAGAGTTACATATTTATGAGGACGCTTCTTAATCTGCTTTATATATAAGCTTTTAATGATGCTGAGGAGTCTTAATTACCTGAAGAATAGAAGTCTGTCGTCTAATAAGTTCAAATGTCTGAACTTGTGTCAGCCTGAAGTTGATGGACTGTGCAGTCAGTTTATACCTTCATGGACATTTTGGGCTCCTCTCTACCATCTTTGATTTCCAGTCTGCTGTAAGAGTGCATAAAGTGGAAGTCCAGGCAAAGGTAGGTTCCTGCAGAAAGTGGCTAATAGCTTCTTTAATATCTAGCAACCCATTAAGAGTGCTGAAACAAACACATTCACCAAGAAGGTGTTTTCAATCCTGCTGTTGCTCCAAATGCGTCTTATATGGATTCAAAAATGTATTTGATGGTGCATGTCTTCTCTGGGTTTTCCTTTTTATGTATAATGCATTTAGACATCCTCAGCACCTGTGTCATGTGGACATTGAAGAAATATTTAATAAGTCCTGGCAGTTGTCTAAGTCCAAGGAACATTACTTGACTACTCTGCTGCAGTAATTGCCATCCAGA